TTATAATAACTATAAGATATAATTTTATAATTAAATTAATTAATTTTAATAATAATTAAATAATATATAATTATATCGCGATTTAAATTAATAGATTTTCTTTTATTAATATAACCTAATATTATATTAATATAAAAATATTTTATAAAAAGAAATTAAGATTAATTAATTAAAGGAATTTTAGCCTAAGAAAATAATCTTAAAGGTAAGAATTAATAAGAGAGGAGAGATTATATTATAGCCTAATATATCCCCTATTATATATTATTTTTATTCCCTATATTTTCCCTTCTTAATATATTAATTATAATAGACCTTATTTCTATAAATATAAGGCCCCTTATATATATATAATACTTATTATACCTTAGATAGATATTTAGCCTTTAAGCTATTAATAGATTTTAATTACCTTTAAGACCTTCTTAACCTATTACTAAGATATAATTCCCCTATTATATAGTAATACTAAGACTCTCTATTAATAATAAACCTAATACGCTTAGTTTATTCCCTTAGAAAACTCTAGATATTATATTTATCTTTAAATATATTTAAATTAATAATCTTATAAATATACTTTAAGTTACCTTTATTTAATTTTATAATTATCTTATTAAATATATAAATCTATAAAAAACTAAGGTTAATTATATTAATATATAATAAATAATACTTAGGAACCTAGCTAAGAGATTAGCTATAAGTAATACCTCTTTTAAAAATAAAGTCTTCCTAAGTTAGCTCTAATAATTAGAGGGCTAACTAGAGGAATTATTAGACTTAATAGAGGAGCTATAGGCTTAAAAGGATCTATTAATAAGATAATAATTTAGACCGGGATAGGTAGCAGAGGCCTCTAAATAGATTATTTATAGTATTAATAGTAGATATAAGGTTATTAGAAAAAGCTTAATCTATTATTAATAGGGTTATTTATAGGTTAGAAAAGTTAAATACGATTATAAGAAGAGATCTAACTTTGACATATAATAAATCCGAACATACGGCTTAGATCTGACATGGCCGCCTTGGGGTTCCTTAGCCCAGCTTCCTGAGTATCTGGTGGACCATACGGGCAAGACCACGGGGATCGGTGAGCGACCATGAGCCCCATATCTCCTGTCGTTACCGCTGACTACCTATCCAGTTCCCCGTGACCAAATCTGCTCCGCCTACGAAGCTCTCATTGAAGTGTACCCGAGCTACCACCGGTCTCCCCCCCTTCTCTACACACTCCTCTCCGTTCCGCCACCCAGTGATGCAGACACCGACATTGCCTCTCACAATGCGCGAACCAACGCCATCCTCACTGCGCTCGGCCGCAAGACAGAGCCTCACTATCAGGCCAAGGCGTCCAGCTCCCCGGGAAGCACGAGTCGCAAGAAGGCCCAGCAGGCGATCGATGCCTGGAGCAAACCTGCGGCTGTTCTGTTGATTCCACAAGTCCAGATTGTGTATGACACCGAGGTTGTGGGTCCAGTCTTGGAGGGCAGAACCGTGCAGAAGGTGTTGATGCGGGAGGAGATGTGTGGGAAGAGGTGGGCACAGAATGGCAAGAATTGAGCTCAGAGGGTGGAGTTACCTTGGGTGCCAGATTAGGCGTGATACACGACATTGGCGGTTACTTGAGAGGGGGTTTTATTCTTTGTGGCTAGTGCTTGTATGTAGATTTATGCTAAAACTCGCCGGATGATTCTGAAAAATCCCATTTTCTGTCTTCCCCCCTTTGATCGTGACCGTAACAGACATGCTGAGGTTTCTGTGACGACGATGCATGAGGCCTTCCAAGGCCTGATGGTCGAGCTCACTGTGTCATGAAAATAAGCCACCCCCTAATTTCACTCAACTTCTTTGTTCTAAAGTTTTACACGAGACCACGTCACCGCAAGCGCTAGGTGTCCAATATCTTTTGAATAAACGCCACGCATTACTAGTGCTTAGTGAGACGTATTGTATACTCTCCGCGACTATGATATATCATATATTAACTCCCAATTCCCAGCCGCCCTCACCAACAGCCAGGCAAACATCGTGACACATGGATTTGCTAGAGATTAGCGCTTCACATTCAAGGTTGATTTCCATCGATTTCTTTTACCCCTTTTATTCTCGTTCTCTTCTCCACCTAACCTTTATCCGATTTTTATTCGCTGTCAACTTGAGACCCTCTGGTTGCTCTACCATCAGACAGAATGCCAGTTAGCTTCATTTGTAACCCCTGAATAACACCTTCAGTTTGGAATACTTAAATTCTGGGCCGCTGGCTTTCTCGTCTGAGTCTCCTAGCAATATCCTGACCTCTTATCCGTGTGCCGGATTCTAGCACTCTTTTGAACCCCAAATACTTTCGAGACTCCTTTCACGTCCTGGCGCAATTCTCTTTCGTTTGTTCCCATCACCGCTCGTCTACCCACCATGCCCGAAATTCTCAGCCCCCTCGGCGATGGTGACCGCCGGAAGGCTAACGAATATAGCCGCAAAGCGCACGAGCAGTGGCGTCGACGCCAGAGGGAATCCGAGCGGGATCGCCAGAGGAAATCTGAGCAAGATCGCCGCCACTCTCGTCCCTCACCCGGACCCGATCGACGTGAACCAAGGGATCGCGTGCCGCCGCGGTCACGGTCCCGACCTCGCCCGTACCCCGATTCGAAACCAACTGAGGAGCCCCGGCCCTCATCCTCTCGGCAATCCCAGGATACAAACCCTGGTCTCAAACGTTGGGCTACCGACCTCATATTCACGCTCATGGACTGGACTTGCTCTAGCATTCATCTCGCCTATAAGATCCTCCTCCTAACACGGGCGCTCCTCCCCATGGGCCTTTTGAAGTTATTAATGTAATGCGTCTTCATCGCCGCCCTAGTACTCAGCGGCATTGGTTTCGCCTGCTCTTCCTTTTGGAGCGTATTGGGACTTGTTCTTTGCGAATGGGCTATGTCTACGCCCTTTATCCTAGAGTCTGCCAGGCAGTTCGCATGTTCCCCCGCCCCCGCTGAAAGTCCAAGCGACCAGGCTCAGTTCATAGCGGACAGCCTTGACGGTTGTGGCCCTGTTGTTCCCGACATTCTTACCTACATGACCAACGTTGGTGAGGACGTCGAAGACAAGGCCAACGAGATAAAGGACCTTTTGGAGGTATCAGACATCGACTTGTCATCCGCTCAATGGAAGTCAGACTACAATAGAGCAACGGAGCTGTTGCGAACTGAGGAGTCCACGGTTAGGGCCCAGCAACAACAGCTCTGGATGGAGATAGACCGGTATCTTCGTCAGTTTACCCACTCTGCCAAACAAGCAGACACGTCATTTTGGTCCTCCATCACAGGGGGCAACACTTCGGGGCAGCTCAAAATAAACCCAATCTTTCCGTAGAAAATATCCAGTTAACCTACCACCCTTTTCCTTTAGGCTAAATGCCCATTCCATCCCCCCCAAGATCTCCCTACATCGGAATTTGTTACTTAGGGGGTGATATCAAGATCAGGCTTGTCAAGGAGGAAATGTTATCTGAGCTTCCTGGCGCGGACTCTTCTGCTACGAGTCTCGATGCTGATGTGGGTAATTGTACAAACTCAAACAGCGATTTTATTACTACCTTTTGCCATCCTCAACAGTTAGACTCTAAGTCGAGCACTATCTATCTCCAGGTCCACCATCCGCGATGTGTGCTGAGTGGACGGGTACAAGACAAGCCAATTCCGGAGTGGCCATACCTTCCTCAAGCTGTACGGCTACCACCCCCCAGCACCGCCAGGGGCCGGGTACTGGAATGAGCTGGGCTGGCCGTACCCAGGTGTATGTCGGTTCATTGAACCATCAGCATCATAGCCCTGCGGATGCTGTTCCCCGACTGGACCGAGCCTGCCCTCGATCGCCTGTATGGTGGCTGCCATGCGGGAGTTCTGTTCTTCAAGGGCCTTGACCCGGTCCTCAAGCTCAATGATGCGCTGATTAGACGCCGACTTGTGGTCGGTCAAGTCGGAGCTGATCTGCGCCGGCGTCGGGTTTGACCGAGGCACCTTGTCCCGAACCACCGCCGTCCACTTGGGCCAGCCGGATGGCTGTGCCATGTCAGTCATCATATTGTATGAAGGGAAGCTCAGGGGGTGGAGCTTACTTTCTCTGCCAGAGGGTCTCTGACCTTCTCTATCATGGTTGACTGGATGGCTTTACCCGCATCCTCAAGATCTCTGTTCCACTTCTGGGGGAGGGGGAAGCAGTCAGTAAGTTGGTACAGACACAGAGGTCTATACTTACTATGAGCTGGCAGGTGAGCTTTTTAGCAATGCAGTTCTTACAGGAGGCAAGAATCTTGCCTCTCTTGCCAGCCTTGATGCCCTGCTTTCCGTCCTTTTCAGCTACTTTGCTACCTAACAATTGGTTAGCAGGAGCATGTCGTGGAGGCCGCCGCATACTTACTTCTGACTATGGTGCAGATGGTCTTGTTGCCGTCGGCTGCATCGCGGGCGCAGTTGCAGCAGGGGATCTCGTGATATTCCTCCGGGGGCTGTCAGTATCGCTGCGTTAGTGGTGATGAGCACAAGTGGCCAGATGACGAGAAACATACCGCTTGCTTGTTGGTGTTGTTGGACCCTTCGGCGTCTGGTCCCTCTTGCTCCTCATCCTCCTCATTCGCCATGTTGCGGGCCGTCTGTTTGCCCGCCTTCTTCTTCCCCGCCGCTCTCATTCTGGTCTGGGCCTGGGATTTGCCCTCCTGGCCATTCCCGACTTCCATCTCACTGGTTGTCGTCACTTGACCACCTGTCTCGACACCTTCTGCCCCCTCGGCCCGTTGTCGATCAGGCTCCTCTTCAGCCTGCTTGCGGAGGGCGCCCTCTTGTTCGTTCTTCCGAAGAGCTTCTTCTTCCTTCTTGTTCTTCTCCAATGCTTCCTCCTCGGTTCTCTTTCGGAGAGTCTCTTCTTCCTCAGCCTTCTTTCAAACTTCTTGTACCTCCGTCGTCTATCGCATCGTTTCGGCCGCCATCTCGTCGTTTGTCTCACCGGAATCGCCGGTCGTCTTGTCGGCGGGGTCATCGTCGTTCGAAAAAGGATTTCCCTTGAACATGTCAGCTTGGGGGGGGGTTGTTCGAGGGCGAGGGCACTCACTGGTTCGATGCAATCGTCCATCGGCGGCGGCTCAGAAAGCTTAGAGCCAGCATCCGAAATGGACTATTCATCTACCTTGCTCTTCTTTGAGATGTGGTCGGATGGCACTGTCTGCCCAAGCTGTCGCTTGTTGCCGAGGGCTCGAGAATCGGTATTGGCCATGACGCTACCCTCTTGCTGTGGGAGCCGGGCTCGTGATCTGGTCTGGATCTGAGCAAAGGAACGTGTTAGCGAGACTGTGCAGCATGTTGAAGTAGGTTGATTGAGACTTACACCAGTGTTGCCCTCGTGGGCCGTAGGAGCGCTTCCCTCACGAAGAGGCTTCGCTCGGGACTTGGCCTGTCGCGCCATGGTCTTTTTGAGGCGATGAGATACAATGAGAATACCGTCAAGAGGCGTATATATGTGAAGAGTTAAGCGCAGGGTATAGATAATGGGAGAGATAGAAGTTACGCTTAGGATAATGGGGAAAAGGAGTTGAAAAGATGAAATTCATGAAATTCTGAGAAATGGCTGAGCATGGGTCTTTATACCTAATTGTGGCCTCTTGTTATCTATCTGCCTGGCCCGTCAGGCAAGCTCTTGTTCCCGCTGTTGCAAACGCCATCAGTCGTTTGCCGTGCGCTCATGGCAAACGGATGTGAGAAGTCATCTCAAGGCCAACGGCTGCGCTGCTCCACTCACACCTCATGAGCCCGTAGACCCTGGACAAATTACCCAGTGCCGACGGTGGCGTCCTGTCAGCCGCGACAGCTCCATGTTGAGAAAAGCCGTAGTCCTGCTGGTCTGAGGTGGGACACTGTTGAAGAGAGGGAGCATCGCCAAGCGACAAACAAGTCCAAAGCAGGCAAGCTGTGGGGATCTCTCAAGCCTAGCCATATTGATCAGATCTGGGGAATAGAGTTCAGGGGCCCCCACGCGGAGAGTTGGGGTGGTGGTTCATCGATGCTACCCACCCCCTGCCTGTCACGCACGTCTCCAACCTTATCCCCGGCCGCTCGGCTGTCTCCCTGGGTACCGGCCGTCTTGGTTAGCCGGTACGTAGCAGCTGGTACATAATTGAGGCGGCTGGGGGCGAATGGTAGCAGTTAATAGTCAAGGGACTCTGGTCACTCTCGCGACGCGTCTGACGGGTAAATCTCGGTTAACACTCATCCCAGGAGGCAAGGAAGCGAATTCCTATATTTCGGGCCAAACTTTACCAAGAGCCTTAGCATCTAAGAGGATTAATCTAACCTCATGCCACGGAAGAATCCCGACATTTCCACCGAAATCTTTACTAGCAGAAATGAGAAAATTCCATTTCTTCTTGCGTATATTTTGGGATGAACAATGGTGAATCTTTGATTTGGCACCTTTGAATCGACTCTTAGTTGGTGTATGAACCCAGGCAAGTGTAGGTGAGTGAGATATAATAAACCTTCACATCAGACATGTTTTTTAGGGCATAACCCAACCGTGAGACACCAATGCTCCTTGCACTTATTCGGAAGTCTGTCAGTACTCTGCCTCATCAAAGCTACTTCCAAAGGAACTAAGGACGATGAGCTGGATAGTGTAGGGTAGCTTCTGATCTGGGCTCATGAAACGTTCACTGGGACCCCGGAGCCGGAATCCAAGAGGCATCAGCATGGCATGAGCCTCGTCAAGATGGTCTCATATCAATTTCTTGGTGCAGCCAGGCTCACAGCATACCAAAAGCCAACTTCATCAGCCTCCTGCCTGAATGAGCCAATGGCGGCTCGTCAAGACAAAGCTCGTCTACCCCGCTCCATTAGATCCCATGTCCTTGTTAAGAAGCTGATATTTTTGGATCTAGGGTCTAGGCTGAGCTGGTACAGATTGATAACAGGGCGAGGGGTTCTTTTGTTCGTGGATGAATCCCATGATCAAATTTTGCCTTGACGATCTGGTGAGCCGCTTCTTTGACCTTTTACTTCAGCCATGCTTGGAATATAGTGCTGGAGGATGCAAGCCTGGTAGATAGAGGCTAGTCCAGATTGTAGGGAGAGGATGGTAGGCCTGGGGATAAACCGTCAGGGAGTTCCTTGATTGCTCAGAATAGGATGACTCCTAACAGTTCTCGACGAAATACCCAGCCAGTGACATATCCAGCCCGCTATGCTGAGCATTCCCTGGTTGAAACACCGTGCTAAGCCAGCTAGGTCCCGGCCTGTTAGACCAGGAAAAGGCCAGCCTCACCAGCGAGCTTAGTATTTCTGTAGGTGCCACCTAGCACCGAGCTCTAGGGCGGTAATAAAGAAACCCCATGCCGCACATGCCGCTTCAGTAGATCCTCACCTGGCTATGGGAGTCTCAGAGTAAATGCAACGACTTCACGGCAGGCAAAGGGCCCAGGGTCGATGGGAGGCACTATCTCCAAGGGTGTCTCTACAGATACTACAGGGTCACACGTTTGTTAATCAAATTGTTGCTCGGTGGGTAAATGACGAGCCATGAGGCTTTGTTTAGACTGGGACTTTGCCTAACCATCTTTATCGGTTGAGTAGAGTGGCGTGAGTCCTGTAACTGTTGTAATGGAGAGAGCTTTTGTGGAAATATGATGGATATAATTATTGACATGTAGAACAATCTTTGTCTAGTGCCAGCGCATTCAAGTATTGACTCGCCTATAAGAAGCGGCATCGAAGTATTGACCTAGGAATTCCACTTCGTCTTTAATATCTCTTCTATAATCTTTTTGCATCAACCGGACAATCAAAAACCACTATCTACTCTTCCAACTTCCAATCTTCCAACTAAAAGCAATCCGCAATCGCATAAATACTTTGCTAAAGCCAGAGTACTATCAACACGCGCGATACCAACGCACTCCAGACATCGCTTCTGGAGCTTCAAAAGCAGCACATGGGCTGGGTGACCCGAAGACTAAAGAGGCTATTCTCGATGTCTTTGATAAGGGAGAGGATACCTCTGACTTCGCCAAGGCTACTGCCTCGCTATTCGACAAGAATGGCAAGTTGATCATTATCGAACACGTCGTGTCGAAGAAGTAGTCGACAATGAAGGGGTTTACTCTGTATTTGAGGATAGGTTAACTCACATCACGATGCAGCTCACCATCAGCTGGGTGGGTAATGCCCCGACAGACGCCCTTCTGTCATGAACATCAACCTTGGCCATCATGGCTTGTGCCGCATTGCAGCGTACGCATGATCATTCGCTGCAACAAGGCAGAGTTCAACCCTTGATTTAAAAGTCGGGGCCTACACTTTCAGATACATCTTCCCTGCTTGAAGTACAGAGGTTTGCGGTCAACACGTAATGGGGCGGCTTCTAATTTCCGCTCTGGAGTTTTAGCTAGAGATATCAGCCTGATTGTTCGTCATTATAGCGGACTTCTTTTACTCGTTGCCATACCTCAAATGTGTTAATAATCTATAGTCACGCTCACTTATTGTCTCTATTTCTATGTTTCTTTCCTTGACTTTCGACTCGGCGTCCTCATCACTATATCATTCTTAGGTTGAATCGGCGACTTGGTACTAAATTGTTAACCATCCCCACTCATCCAAGGCTCGTTAAGCATTATCAGAAACCTTGTCGAATTATGACTACTGTGATTTCCTGTTCAAATATGCGCTGCGTGTATGTGCGTCAAGGGAAAGAACAGTTCCTGAGGTTATAGGCAACTCCTCGCTGAGAGCCCTCCCCATGTAACATTATTACTGAAATCGAGGGTGGGCGTACATGTGGTACGAGTTAGCCTGAGGCAATTGAATGACAGGAATCTTATCAAACTCGAGTTGTACATCTCGTGGGCTTGAGGATCTAACTCATTAGTTAAGGGAGACCACTGCTAAAAGAATAGGATATACAAATCGAGAAGCTATGTGGTATAAGAGGAATATCTATAAACCCAAGCTAACAACAGAATAGTCATTAGATCAAGAAAAGTAAAACCACTCTTGGTGATGGAATTACATGAATACCATAACGTTATAGGGACCCCGAGTGTTATTTTGTCACAGGCTAAGTCATCAAGATGACGGAACTGCTTAATTTTATTTGCTCGAGGGGTATATTCTACGACGCGAGCACGATAACTAAGCATGAACTAAACACATACCGCTTGGATACATAGAGCCGTACTCCTCAGAGCGTGTCGGTTTGCTGTTGTTAACTGATGGTGCCATTGTGGCACACTGGTATCCGAGTATGACCTGTTCCGTAATGGGGCTGAACAGTTTTCTCGAGTCAACGTGAGATGCCTACCTCAAACATCCCGTCAAGGACTGAAATCAAGAGACTAACGGAGTGACTTGATTTGGCGAAAAGAAGAGCGAGATCACGGGAACCAACGTCAGCTGCATACCATCAACTCTGACCGTCTTGATTGACCTTGATCAACAAGTTCAACTGATTCACGTAAGCTAAGTTTCATATGCCGTGATAAGACAAAAGACAAGAGTGATGATTCAAAAATACAAAAGAGGAAGAGACTCCTACTCGTGAGGATGCCGAGAGTTTGATTTTCTTTATCATCAAATATGTGCCAGTGACCTCGAAAAAGCTACTTTATGTCTCAAAATCACACATTTGGAACGGCATGAGGCCCCTCCCCAAAGCCCCAGCCATCTTATGATCCCGGAAACATTCTCCAGGTACATTTCTCTTGTCGGAACACTGCTCCATCCTACCAAACATTCTTTTAATCTCCATCTTGCTCTTGATGCGCCGGTAAGAGCTTTGGCGTTTTCCCAATGATAAGTGCACCGCAAGCAACATAAGTGGGATTACTAGCTTGTATTAATAGTTTAGTGGCCCTTGATGACACCGATACTAAGGACTCTCTGCGCCATCGTCAGTTTATTGACTAAATGGTGCAGACAGAAGTACACACTAAACTATGCCTCAAAGACGGAATCCCATGACCAGCCGTTACGGCGACAGACACAATACAGAAGAATGACAGCAGATATGTAGCGGTGTATAGCTCGTCAACTGATTGGTAGGTTCGGTGATTTGACGACCCTGCTTAAGCTGGTTGGCACATCGTGATCAAGCCTTCGAGTTAGGTTTCTGGTAGTCAGTCTCTTGAGTGACCCAGGTCATATCACCACGTGGGCTCTTCGTTCCATGAGTGATGGCCACTCTTAAAGACATTACGGAGATGAAAGGAAATGTGGGAAGGACTGTCTTCCTAGACCGGATCACCATGACACATTTCCTCGCGCACATTATCGTGCCAAAGTTGAGATGCAACTTATCCTACTTCTCAGCCACAAATGAACATCAACTCGCCATTGCAGAATGCCAACGAGGCCCTGGGGGGATATAAATAGCCATCGCTATTTCTTAAAATGCACCGCCTACGCCCGCGCATATGCCATTTTCGATCTAAAGGACGTGACTACGTTATTATAGGGTAGATTATAGTGGTATATCTTTGGAAACTTCAACGATATTTCGCGATCATAAGCACCAAAACAGCTTCAGCGTAAGAGCCGGGGGAATCTCTAATATACGTGTACTCAGTCTTTGATGCAACTCACAAGCCTGTCTCCTACTGCACTTGGAACTACAGTCATCTATACCTGAAAAGGCTCGAGGTAGAGATGTTTGAACAGAGGGCACAATATTGTTATAGCTGGAGTGCCCTGGCCTTGACATCGACGGGTTAGTTCGTTAGTGCGGTGGCAGCTCGACGGAGGTCCCTTTGAAGATGTCAGTAGCGGATACCGAAAGAGTTCAAGGAGAGGACGGGATCTCACATGGAAAATGCTGGATTCATGGCTCTTCTGTGACCAGCTAAGCATGATCAGGAGGCAAAAGGCTCAAGGAACGAAAAGCCCGAGGGGCCAGAACTTATGGCTGGCAACCCAGACTTCCATACAGCGCTAGAATGTTGGTAGGGAAGCTTTTTTGGTGCTGAGAAGAGCTGGCGACGAACCAGAGGAAGCTATTCTGTTCATTGGTGCGGCTCCGCTTCAACCTAACGTGGCGGCATTAACATGGGTACTGAAGGCAACATGATCTCGGCCTGGGCAGAAACTTCAGCCAGTAAGTCAATACAACTAGACCTGTTACGTAGTTGGCCTAGAAGATGGCTGCCTCCTAAGATCTACGTATCCACGAACTGGGGAGTGACGATGATATAGATGTTTAAGATTAATTCACCCTTAGAGGCACGCAAAAGACGTGAAAAGATGGAAAGGGAAAAGCCCGGATGGAAAGAATGGGATTTATATTGTCATATGCACGATTTGGCCGATCAAATAAGCAGCATGCGACAGGCCGATAAGGGAATTATCCCCGGAAACCACGGGGTTTTTGAGTCAGCGGCCGACATCAAGGCATTCAGAAAGGCAAATGAGAGATATCAACGCGGGAGATTTGGCCCGAAGAATACGGAATCTGTGAGTCACCCTCATTCCGAATGAATGACTGTAGTCGGCGATAATAATATCATTTGTATTCCAAATAATAAAAAACTGATCAGATGCCGGCCCCGAGATCCCGTCTTTGGCTGGTCTTAACTTCTCACTTATTATCGACCTTAAGCAAGAAGATTTAGCGGAGAAAGCGGGTTTTCCCAGCAGGTAAACCTCCCCTTCCTCTCCCCCCAATAGACCTCAGGAAGGGGTCGCTGGTGGTTTATGCCATTAAGATCAGAAAGCTCCCGCTTGGCATGTCTCGATCTCAGCGTACGGACATAGTCCTAGCTCACGGTAACCTGGAATGTTTGTAATGTTCCTCATCATAGCTAGATCTATATACTTGCCTTCACATTTCTCCAGATCGTGGATCATGACTGGTATGAGAAGCGTTGATCACAACAATTTCTCCCACCACACACATGGCCAAGACGTACTCCTATAGCCACTGGAATCGTCATTTAGAAGGAGTCATTTAAGTGATGGAGAACGAATTTCGTGTAGGTTCCCGTATCAGGATGATGATTATCGTGACACGAGTTCTCGATCAAGCAAGGTATCAAGCGCCGTCGCCACACGGCGCGGCGGTCTATAAAACAATCAGACATCGACGCTTATCAGACCAAGTGACCAGTCTTAACCAATCCTAGTATTCTGCTGGGTAGTTATCTAGCATAAGAGACGGTGTGGGATGGCTCCATGACTCTCTGAGCAGGGGCTGCCTTCTTGACGTGACCTCAACGTTTAAGGGCTCGAGGCTAACCATGAAGTCACTCTCAAAGTGGACGCGCATCCATCTGCGCAGTCTCAACTCCTCGACTTTGTCCCTGTACTGATCTTTCTGAGCTACCATTTACCCGCCTCAGTGTTGCCACTCCTGGCGTATGAGTAGTAGTCCCTCCTTTTTCGTCATCTCATTACATCGCTCTCATTTTGATTCTGGTTATCTTTCACCCCTTGTTTCTAATAACTCTCCTCCATGGGGCCAACTTGAAGTTCTATCGCTTCCACTACCCTTAATCTGCGCTCGCACGCGGCTCTACACCTCTTCAGGAACTAGGAAGTGAGTGACGCAACCAAAGTAAAAGCCACTCTCAGCATAACTTGACGGCCAACTCGCGTAGAAGGTGCTCCTGGGTGACAACCCAGCATACGCTGACAATGACTTCGGTAGCGTCAGTTATTCAGTTAACCCAGCATCAACACGCCTTTAAGGAGAACAGGCCAATCGCACTCGGCAACCCGATTGTAAGCTATAACCCAAGGCATCCAGAGCCCTTTGGGAACCTTTATAGAGAGAAGCAAATAAAAAGATCTTGGCTAGCTCACGAGGCAACTTGAAGCTCTAGGGGAGGCCGAGATCTTTTCGGTAGGGTCAGTTCAGCTACATGAGTCCGTCCCATGATCAGTCACCATGTAACATTGAGTCCTTGGCCCTGTTTTGACCCATATAGCTTCAACGGCAGCTCTTCTTGTTCAGGGCAAAGGTTTACCAACAATTTACCCAGTGTTTCCAGCAATGCACCTCCAACGCCCGAAGAACACGTGGCCCTAATGTTGGTCACAATCTTCATCATCTTGTTCTCTCCTCCGAGGCCGGATCTTCCACAATGGTTCATTACCTTCCATAATTATGAGCCAAATAAGAACAATATCCTTAACCATCTCAGTCGAAATTTAGTTGGTAAACTCTCATAAGAATCTTGTCACCCAAGGAAGATAAACTCTCTTGGACTAGACATCACTGACGGAAGTTTTTCGTCTCGTACCTGAGAAGGTATTTGCCAAATAAGAGGATGTCTTTCACGAGGAAGATAAGATCATCTCATCTTATAGATGCAAAATCTTCTCAATGACGCCTCCGTCGCTTTGATAGCCGGTTCCGCGACATCACCTACTTCCAAAACGAAACAGGTGACGACTTTGTAGCAGGCCGGCGGCAAACCAACGTACGGGCCTATTCTCATTCTCACCAAAGCTAATACAGCCACGGCCAGGCTACGCGTTTTATACATGAAGGAGTCCATCGAGTCATTGGGCTCGCGAAGCAGGTTCTTGTTCCGGGTCTTTCTTTGTATTGAATAATGTCCAGTGAACCAGAATTTCCAACGAGGTGGTTTTCTCGTATCGGCGCCACCATCAGTGTGGGAGTTCGTTCGAGCCCGCCCTGCCGTAGCCAAGACGATCTTCTAGCTCAGTTAACCGATGAAGGGCCGGGTTAGAACTACAATAACGAACACATGGATAGTAAAGAACAGATTATCAACACATGATAGCTTCATGGCCCAATACCAACACAGGGGAACTAGCCCATCAATCGCAGCTTCAATTTCTACCACTAATATCCCTTCAACTCTGAGCCGCAGTATTGAGTTTAATCTCCATGAATTGCTTCCGAACGATCATTCATCGGCTCTCATAGGTTAGCCGCCCTTGATTTCTGTTGACCCAAAGGTCTTCCGGGGCGAAACGTGATGTCTTTTTGAGAGCTCGGTTTAGCCTGGGACCATGAGATGGAGGCAACTTGAGAAGTCTTGACGGCGTCGACGGTCTCGCCGATTGAGGAAAAAGAGCAATCCCGGGGCTTCTTGCCGGTGCCTTGGTTGTTTACTGCAAAGGTCGGGGTCGTGCCTCCGGCGGAACCTTGGACAAGACATACCGGATTTCCATGCCGCTTGCAGTCAACGAGGGCAATGTTTAACAAGTGATTTCACATACATCCGTCCGAAGGGGATTTGTACAGAGTCTCCAATGTAGCCATAGTAGCAAGTGAAATGCGACAGGAAAAATCAGCAATGCGAATATTGATCAGCAACAAGAGATTCAGGGGGCAACCGTCCAAGCTCTTAGCTCTATTCAGAGGTTTCCCGTCATAGATGTGAGTCTTCTATTAGTGAAAGGCTCCTCTAGGCGTCTTTGTGTCCTCCAGTAGGAAGCCTGCTTGGCAAGTGCCTCAGCCATTGGGCTTCTCTTACTCTACCATGGGCTTTATAGTGCGTATCCAACCTAATTCATGCCAATAAGCCCGGCATTTCATCATCTTTATAGCTATTACACCATTCAAACGGTCGACTTTAAAACTCATTCGACTTTCCGAGGGCATCGCGGCATGCAATCACCGGCTTTTCAACTCCGTGGCTAAATGATAGCGAAGCGATAACTCAGCGATGGTCTTCACTCTGTGCTCTGTCATACTACAAATATGGTACCTTGAACGCTCAGGGAGTTATCAAGTCATACCACTTTCCTAGGCGTTAACGTTTAATATTATACCAGCAAGTTCTAGTGTACGCTTTGAGGGCGATTTGACTCTTAGGGAGATATCACTGAAACCTCATGATATAGTAGTTGAATTGCCACCACCGCTTGAGCTATTTGGACGTATGAAATGGTGACGAAGTTGCCGAGCCTTTTCCATCCAAGAGTAGAAAGACCATCTTGAGACAGTACTCGGTCCCTCCATTGTTAGAATTACCAATCTCGACGGCAATGCGTATCAGTCTTGCTTATCCTTGTCTGCGCCTCCGTGTGCCACCGCGAGGTATGAGTCAAATGTCGACTGAGGCCGCGAAATGGTCGATGAAGTGGTTCCAAGGCTCTACAAATAGTCTGTACATGTAAAGTCATATCCCTTTCTGCACTACTCAGATCCACACTGGGCTGACGGATCTTTGTTCATGTTTTCATGGGATCGGTAGTCCGCTGGTAGTGGCCGCCCCATACTCTAGAAACCATGCCCGCGAAATCACCGATAGAGGTCTGGGTTCGGGCAGGAGAAAATAACAAATAATCCAGAAGCTTATGAGGTAAAGTATACACTATTTTCTAATCCTCTAAATTGTTGATTGCTGCATTTTCGCGACTTCGATTTTAAGCATTCCCGAAATACACAGATAGCCCCGCTCCTAGTTGAGGGCTTCTTTACTCGATAGAATGTAAAAAAGTGGAAACATGATGCTTGGAATGGGAGTTTGATGCCAACCTAACTTCTGCACAACGACTATCTGGTTTTGTGCTGAGAATCAAGGTCGAGAATGGGACACTCGAGACGCACCACCAAGATGGTGCAATAAGACCGTATTATTACCCATACCAAATAGTTTCCAGCCGCGACAGGACTTGCATGCGACGAAGTGCCTCATCTCGATCCAACGTCTGCATATGACAATATCGACCTGGACCACAGGGTCACCAGGCATTAGAACATAATAATTGATATCAGAGTCCAGAACGATCCCGGTTCGAGGCTCAAAGCCTTAGAGATATTATCACACGACGGATAGAGGCTCAAGGATCTCGGCTATTAGCAACCTATACCCAGGGCTGCCTTCCCTGCTATAACCTTAGTAGTATCTTAGTGGCTAGATTATAATATAATATATAGTGCTTATTATATAAACTAAGACTTATATAGTATATAATATATTTAATTATTATTTTAAGGATCTTTAAATCCTATTTAACTTACTTATTAATAGAAATAAAGCTATAAGCTTACTTATTATATATTTCTTTTTATAATTACTTCTAGGAAGTTATATATTAGCTTTATATATCTTTTAAGAAGTATTATTATATAGATTAATAATTATTATAATATAAACTAATAAGATTATATAATAATAAAAATTCTTTTTATTTTTAAACTTTTTTTATTTTTTTTCTCTTTTATATATAATTTTATATTTAAATTATAAAGTTAAAAAAGATATCTCTAAGTATATTTAAAAGACTAAATTCTAAATAAAAAATAACTTAAATAATCTTAATTATTAAAATAAAGCTTTTTATATAAATAAAATAGTTTAAACTAATATTATTTTTAATATTAAGGCTAATAAAGTTAAATATATTATAGTCTTTATACCCCCTTAGCTAGCTTAGCCCCCTTAGCTAGCTTAGCCCCCTTAGCTTTCTTAGCCCTATTAGGACCCTTAGGTACCTTAGCTTTTTTAGTTTTATACCTTTCTTATTCTTCCTAGTATTATAATTATATATATATTAAA